TGGTGAAGCTGACACAAGCCTTTGGGGTTTAGCTCACTCCACATTCTCTCCTACTGCAGCGTGTAAAATGGAAGACTGTGGACATTCATAATGCGATTACGTAGAAGTGGGTGGCAGGAAGTGGAAATGCTCCTGGATAGTATTTCCACAGGGGTTGGACTGGGGGATTGGGAGCCCGGAACCTGGTTACATTCTCGTTCCCAATTAGGCACGTGACAGTGGGCATGACACCATTTCTTATTAAACTATTTTAACATCTAACCTGGGATTCTAAGTTTAGAAGTTCTCTAGAGTCACTGAAGAGAACTGAGATAGTCTAGAGCACCTAAATTAGATACTTAGATGGTACAAATCCTCTGCATCAGTCCTTCCTCTAAAAGGTGATTAAAGCAGGTTGCAGAATGTCTGATTCATATGATTTTAGTGTGTTATAAGCTTGAATAACATTGCCTGTATTAATTGACAAGAAGTGTACTTGTCCTGCCGTGTCAAACTGGTCCTATACCAATAATCTCCTTAAACAGCAAAGAGAAACCAAACCTTGAGAAACCAGTGAGTGGAATTGTATGGACTCCTGATTATAGCAGGCCCTAGTTGTCCCTGTGGGAACCACTTCCCTATGTCTCTTCCGTTAAAAGGATGTGAGAGACTCCTTTTACTTTTGGACTCCAGCTCCCTTTTCATTTGCAGGCCTTTAGAAATGCACACGGGTGACTTTGTTCTACTGGTTTTGTCTTGCTGGGAGAAAGCGCACTTGGAAGTAGTCTGGGTGTCCTGAGTATGGACTGACCATCAGAAACTTTGTACTTTTGAGTTGCATACCAGCTCTTTCTGTCATCTGGAACACATCTTTCACCTTGCATGTGTCATTTTATTTATCTGCAAAATTAAGTTAATAAGAGCTACCTCACAAAAAAGGTGAGCAGTTTAACTCGTTCATTTAACTAGGTAGTTGTCTTTCAAAGAAAAAAACAATTGCAGTGCAGGTAGGGGCTTTTCAGCATCACAAGATAGTGTTGCGGATAAAAGTCATGTCCAAAATATATTTTAAAAATTACCTTTCATGTTATTTGTGGGATAATGTAACTATAGATTTCCTCCATATCTACAGAGTGGTCTTTTACTGCCTGAAAGAAAAATAATGCTACAGCAGGAAGCAGAGCGTTATGAACGCTTCTCCCTGGCTTTGGGCTCATCTCCACAGCAAAGTTTTATTTTATACAATTAAATTATAATTACAGGGCAGGGACTGTAATTGAAACTTGGCAGGGACTAAAAGAGTGATATTTTCAGTTTTGTTTAAATCCTTTTCCAAACATTAAGTAAAAATGCCTGGTTTATATGGAAGCAAGCATCTCCCCACGGTTATTGTAGTATAACCATGGCAATTTAAATTCACTCCATAGCTGTTATTCCTGCGTCTCCTCCATGTAGACAGGCCCTGAGCTCCAGAGGGGAGGTCAGAGTTCTGCGGCGCCTCTGCTCTGGGACATGTTTGCGTTTAACGAGGCGGCTCGTTTCACCTGCCCGCTGCTGGGCTCGTTCCTTCGTCGCAGGTGGGCTGCGCGCGTTCGGACTCGCTGCTGTTGGCAGAAGCTCGTCGCCGTCCTTAGAGGGGGAGCAGCAGGCGCGCCACGCTGAGCCGCAGCCGCGCAGCCCCCAAACGCTGGCATGCTGAATATGTTTCAAGCATCGCGGTTAACTTTTTAACCAACCTTTTGGGAAAAAAAATTACGCAAACCTACCTCATCTGTTTGGCAGATGGTGGCCTGCTTTTGTAGCACGTTGCGG